TATTGATATTTTTATAACGATAGTATAAGTTGCATAAAAGCTTGATCAAATTACTTTCTACCTTTTCGAAATATTTATTTTGTGTCTTACTCAGTAGATTAGTATGCATACAAGATTGTTAGGATCTGATGAAGATACAACCTATGTCTATACTAAGATTATTTAATCATTAAATTAAAGCTTGAATCGAATAATACGAAATAATAATAATCTCAATTTAGCAGAAGAATAACATAGCTAATAACAACAAGAAAAAAAGCACGCATTAGAAAAACAAAAATGTTTGAAATGGATGAATAGAAACTGCTATTAATTAATCATTATGATAAATATTTGTTTAGAAATTTTATATTCTGTGTTGGTTACATTAATATTATCAATATATTCAAGAAACCTGATAAATGGAGTGAAGGGAGAAGTACTAACTCGAAATGAAATGGTTTTGTTGTGATAAAGTTTTACAGAGTACGCTTTAACTCAAACGATAGAATTAGTTGTAACCAATCCATTTATTTGATATCTTTTGAAAATAAACTTTTCCACCCATTTTTGCGAGTATACTATAAATCTGTTGAAGTTTGAGTCTCATGAGTACTACACTTTGACTCCACAGTGGCTACACTGATAAGTTTTTGTTACTCAAAAGGTTCTCTCAGGGAAGCAAAGCGATTTTGAAAATTGGAGAAAGGATTTTCACAATTTTTGAAGCTTAAATGTAGAGTTGAACTCATTGGTTTGAAAATTTTCAGCTGAAAACCTCTGATATAGACACGTTTTATGCTAAAAAAACTAATGAAAATCTTCAGTTCTAAAAAAAGTCTTAAATAAATGGGGGAGGGAGGCTTCTATTATGCGGAGCATCATTTTTTCTCAAAGGAATCTCTTATTATGGGAGGAAAAACTTTAGTAACTGAAAACAATTTAAAATAGATCTTATCGATCTCTTTTTGTTATATTCATATTTTATCTAGAATGGCTTTTCTTGCTTACATTTTTACTATCAATCTATCTCATCGAATAGAAACGAATAATAGAGAAAAGATTATGTTCTGCTGTCGGTTTTTTTTTTCGAATGTAAATCTCCAGTATTCGTATAACTTTTTAGAAAAATGATAGATATAGAACTGATATTTTCATCATCCTATAGAGCAGTGTAGAGAACTTCTGGTTCTGTATATAACCTATTCTACTAAAAGAACTTTCTGTACATATGTGACGTTGGTCTTGCTCCATCTAACACGAAACTTTCATTTAATTTGATGGTTTTCTTGAAGAGTTGCAAGTCTTTTTAAGGCATCGAATAACACAGTTTGTCACACATGTACTGAACGAATGTACATCTGTAGTGAAAATACATGGCTTCGACTTTATTGAATTAACTGATATCATCGTTTTGAACTATGAAAGCGCGAAAAGCATTCTGTCTTGTAGCTATGAATAACGAGACGATGCAAGAAAGCATCGCGCTTATAGAAACTGTCCTCAGACAGTACACGAAACTGCAAGGTAGTTGAAAGGCAAAGGTATTCTTCCTCTTCTGCTGCTGTATTGACATCTGTGCGGATAAAAGAAAGGATAGATATAGAAGTCATGTCAAATGAAAAGAAGTATGAAACTCTCACCCGTCTTAACCAGAATATCGATTAGAACATTTCCATCGTTGATTCTCAGTTTCCTTCCTTGTTTCGTTTATTTTTAAGATTTTTTTTGCTAGAATTATACGTTTTTAAAGTTTCAAAGCCAATCAGATATCGTTAAATTATTTTGAAATATTAGTATCAAGGATGTTACATTGAATTTCGAATTTTGATCGACACTGATTTATGGTTCGAAGTTTAGAATGTTCTTTGCTCTAATCAAACGCTATTTGGATATTAAATGAGTTAGAAATATAATCTAAAAATGAATCGATCAACGATGAAAAATACAAACAATCGGAAGACTTTAGGTTTTCCTTGCAATTAGGCAGGATCTTCAATCCACAGTTTTCTAAATTTTCGAGAATGGCTCGCTATCTTCTCATCATCGACACTTATACTATCAGTTAAATATCAGTTTGATGCGTATGAATTCCACTGATGCTCTATACTTATTTATAATTATCTGTAATCATACTATTAAAGTTTTAAAACTTGGGTGATTGAGATTCAGGATAATACTGTTTTAATTATTTTTGAAGATAAAGCCTAGCAATAAATCAAATCATAATATCTGTTTGATATCGATCAAATAGAACAAATGTCATTTGGAACAAACTGGTGGGTAATCAAAAGTAAGAAAAACACAGGAGTTGAGAATAAAGAACACAAGGTTTCGGTCTTCAAGAATGGTTTTTACATCGACCATTTTGAACTCGAAAAACTTGATTCAGAAGAACTTAATCGCTTTCTACGTTCCTTGAAAGAAGATCAATTACCGGATGCGATGTTAAAGTCTCCTTATTATCCAGGTGATCATGTGAATTACTATTTTACAATCGAAGAAAAGAAAATGGGAACTTCCCTAGCATGGCGAAATTATGAATCAGAAGAAGTTGAATTAAAGAAATATGATCCAGAATGGTCGAATTTATATAAAAAGGAATATGAAAATATTGTCGTAAGCCACGAAAAATCTTAATTCATCAATAGATTGACCATAAATGTCAAATAGTCTTGTTCTATTTCAGAGCCATCTTCCGATCAACGAAAATTGCTGTGAACATGATCAGTTATTAATGCTAGAAATGGAACACATAGGAAGTACGAGTGTAGAAGGAATGTATGCCAAGCCTATCATTGATATGCTCATTATTCAAGGAGCATTGAGAGATGGTGGTCGAGGTCACCAAGTGTTCGAAACTTTACTGAGCATGGGATACAAGCATAAACACGGAGCGCATCATTTGAGCCATTTCCACGACATTTTTATAAAAGAAATTTATTCCGAGAAAAAGCCACATTTATTGTTTGGTCTATTAATGAAATATATTTTTAGAAAGGATTCATTATTCATATAGTTCCGGATTCTGCATTGTTCGGCGAGAAAAAAAACGATCTGATCGTATTTCGCGAATACCTTCGTGCTCATCCTGATGCTCGTGATGCATATAGTCAACACAAACAATCTTTAACAGCAAACAAACCTCATTTGACAATCGCAGATTATGCAACAAGAAAGGACAACTTCTTTAACCAGTTGCTTCACAAAGCTATTGAATGGTACAGACAGAATGAGAGTTATGTGCATATCGGTGATTTCGATGAGATAAAAAACCAATGGTCGTGTTGCAAAGCATCTAGAGACGAACGAAACGAAAAAAGGAGCGCCTGTGGAGCAGGAGAACCCGATTCTATTGGTTGCTGTCAACCAGGACTGCAAAGAGACAGCTATCATCCAGGGAGATTTTTTAGTGTAGAATATAATTTTGTTAAAGGATGGTGGACATGTTGTTCTCAAGATCATTATTCTGATGGATGTACCAAAGTGAGATTACTAGCTAATGGAGATGGTAACGATACACTGAAATATTTTTCTTGAGATTCATTGATTTTCTCTTTTTAGCTTTGTTGAAAGATTGTAGTCAATGGGGTACCGGCAGTGTCTGTCGATGGGTGAAGTCATTGAAAGATATTAATAAAGATTATTCAGACGACTTTCTCAAGCACGGTATCAACGGCCATGTATTGTTAACATGTGTGGATGATGTTATTTTACAAGAATTAGGCGTATCGACAATTTTACATCGAAGATTATTCCTAAAAGCTATTGCTGAATTAAAAGACAATCCATGAGTATCTTAGCAATGGTAATAACTTGATCTTTATATAGACTATTTTTTATTTCAATTGATTGTGTCTTCGAATTTTTTGAAGTTGAGATTAAAAAAGGAAAAGCAACTACTGTTCATGCAGTGAAGGTGTGATTATGGGTGTCGGTATGAGTATGGGTAACTCTTGTAAAGCTAACCATAGCGACACCGACAGCTACGTCACACACCCACACCTATGATGATAGGTAGTAGAGATGCAACGGTGACGGTGGTCACCGGTGTGATCGGTCTACGGTTCACCGATCCGCCGGCTCACCGTATGACCGGTGCCACCGGCCCACCGGTGCACCGTACCAACCTGTGCCACCGGTCTACCGGTCACCGCAGTAGCGGTGCACCGTTCACCGTTCCACCGGTATACGAGCACCGTAAGCACCGGTCACAATGTACTGCAGATATACCTACTCAAGTTCAACTGTGTCTTATTAAAAATGAAGCTGACCATCTCATAATCGAGAAGTGGACATATATTTGGTATCCCTCTACTTTCTATGATTTATGATCATACTTCACAAAAAGTGTTTCTATATACTGACCGCTCCTTCAGTACGATGCTGGCCGTAGGCGTACGTCAGACAACATCAAGATGCTCATTCAGCTGATATTTGTTAGTGCGAGGCTATCTGGGTATGAAAGATGCTTATACAAAAAAATTAGGTATGCCGCGTCAACAAACACCTTTAAGGTCAACAATAGCTGTTAGAATGTTGGGAACCTACTGTGATTGCCGGTTTATAACATTCTAACGGCTCATCAAAGCTTAGGATAACCAGCAGTACGCTTTTAATGTCCATCACCGGAGGTTTTCTTGGCCCTACCGATTCCATAACCGGCATGAGGGTGTGGGTGTGGGTGTTGATTTGATCTAAGCCAATACTCTCACTCACACCCGAACACCACGGGTCTACGAAAATTGGACGAACGATAATTGGTCGTCGACAATTGCTCGATACGAAAATTGGTCGCCATGAAAATTAGTCGCTACAAAAATTGGATGTTATGAAAATTGGTCGATATGAAATATAGTCTAGTCGACATATCTGTAATTAAGAAAAAAAATATGTTAAAGTAAAGCTGTCGGTTGAGACCAATTCATTAGACAATGATGGAGAGAAAAAGAGAAGTAAGATATATATATATATATATATTTCAAGTTATTGGAGCAGATAGTTTCTTCTTTTTCTCTAAAATGTCGACGTCTACATTAAGCACAACGGAAAAGAACAAACCTTTACTACTTTCTAAAGGGTTTTGCTATACTATCGATAAAGCAACTAATGATAAAATTTATTGGAAATGTGAATATGCTCGAAAGCTTGAATGCAAAGATCGAATTCACACAAATGATATTAAGACGACAATATTACATGAAAATGACAATCATAATCATCCTGGAAATGCTATTTCAAGTGAAATTCGAATATTTGAAGAAAAGTTTCGTGATCGTGCTGTGAATTGCAACGAAAATACACAAACTGTTCTTGATAATTGTTTAACGGATTTATCTGATCTTGCTGTAGCTCGCATTCCCAATTTTAAACATATAAAACGAAATATGAAACATCGACGTGTTATGAATGATTCTCCAAAAATTCCTAATGATAGGACATTTAATCAAATTCCTGATATATTATCAGTTACCAAACGAAGCAATGAATTTTTGCAATTTGATTCTGGTCCAGGAGATGATCGTATTATCATATTTTCAACACTTGAACAATTACAACTTCTTGAAAATTGTGAACAATTATTAGTTGATGGAACATTTAAAGTGAGTATATTTTCATATTGATGTTGTCTTTCCTAATGAATTAAATCTTTTAGGTAGCACCAGCAATCTTTTACCAGTTGTATGCTATGCATATTGTTTATCGAAATGCTGTTATACCGGTTGTTTTTGCTTTATTACCAAATAAAAATCAATCAACTTATCATCGTCTTCTTGATAAACTAAAAGAACTTTGTCCATTATGGCATCCAAAATCCATAATGATGGATTTTGAGAAAGCTGCGATGAACGAATTTGGGGATAAGTTTACTACAACTACTGATCCAGCAATAATGTCTGGTTGCTTCTTTCATTTACAAAATAGTGTGCAACGTAAACTTCAAGTAAGTTCCCTCGACTGTAGGGAGGGTCATATGAAAAAAATAGATTGTGTGTGTGTCTGTGTGTCTGCATCGGGGTCAAAAGAACATTAGGGTGAAAAAACATCCATTTAAAGTTCTTTCCTCTAAACGTTGGCGAAAGTAAATTGGGGTCGGGGAATCCGAATCTGAAGTCGGTTTGTCGAAATTTTGAATTGAGTTTTTCGGGTCAAAGGAAGGGTTTTTGAGAAAATAACGATAGTTTATAAAGGTTGACGAAAGTCAATCGAGGTCGGAGAATCCGAATCTGAAATCAGCTGTTCAAAAACTCAAATATTTATTTGCATGAAAAATTCATCCCTTTCTCTCTGAAAGATTGTCTAGGGTAAAAGCGAATTTTTTCGAGGAAAAGGCATTTGAAAAAAAGGGAAATTCGAAATATGGAAAATCGTCCTGCGTATTTGGAGCCTGTGTTTGCTGTTTCGTTGCGGTAGTCTCTTCACAGTATCGTTGTAGACATGAATCGGAGTGTGACCTAATGGGTTGAGTGTTTCAGTAAGTCGTAGAGTGAGGAAACAGTGTTTACACACCACTGGCACTCAGTCTAATGTGTGCGACATTGTGGGATTCCTGTTTATTCATAATGTTTTGTGAGTTAAATATCTTTTTTTGAGTGCACTCTGCTTAAGTCGAAAAAAGTAGCATTAAAAGAATCTTGTAAGCGAAGTTACAGCCTGCAGAATAAATACAGAATAATCAATGATTGTTTTAATGCATTCCAATAATGCAACAAGGGTCTATGAGCAAGGTCTGAGAGAAGTGTTGGCGCACTACTGGTCGCTAAAATTGCGAACGTATTCTAATGTTGTTTAGCAAAAGATCTACGTGAAACCTGCATTTATCAAGATTAACCAACTAAGATTCTCCAAATCAGAAGCCCTAATAGAATGCTACCGTATTGACTAAACCATTGGGTTAAAGAAATTAGGAATAAATCATAGGCAAGTGTTGGTTGGAAGTAGCTCATCTGAAGGGATGGTATTATAAATCTAATATTCCAAGTAAGATTAATGTGGCATTTAACAGGGTTTAAGTGAAAAGAACTATCTCATGGAAGAAGAAGATCAGAGATTGCAGTAGCTAGTCGCGAGTGGCACCTCTCCGGAGCACCGACGAGCGACTAGCTGGTGCACTCGACAGTTGCTTTTTGAAGGGCGTTAAATTAAAAGGATTCAACTAGAGAATGTGAAGGGGATAGATCTGATGAGTTTCAAAAGGGACTCAGAGTGATAGGATAGAAGAAATATTTTTGTATGTATTCTAAGATCAGTTTTTCTCGAAGAATAGAATATAATGACAATGTATGGATGGAAAACATCATTAAAACAGTTATCACACCATCGAAAACGAACTTGAATGGAAAAAAATTAGTTTTTCGGTTCGTATATTTTTTTGTGGATTTAGAATGTGCATTTGCTGAAGTAGATGATCAGCTAAAACAGTATATGTCTTTTTCGATTTTGCATAAATGTATGAAAAAGAAGAGAATAATTGGAAATTGTATGTTTGTTTTCGTCTTATGGAAATATTTATCAATTAAGTGAGTCATTTGTAGTTACTATGGAATGGTTTTTGACTATTTATCAATTAAATGTACGCGATAAGAGTGAATAAGCTATTGAATTTGGTCGTGTTTGATACTTATAAGAAAGGTTCTTTCGTGTTTTTAAATCTATCATCTGCGGAAATATATACATGGACAGGCGTGGGTCTAAAATTGAGACCTGACATTAATTTGTCATATGCTATAATTACTATTATGAAAAGTGATACTTTTAAGCTGGTATGTTTTCGGGAATTCTTATATGTGCAATGTCTAGCTACTGTTATTCGAAGAAAATAGTTCTGAAAAGGCATATGTGAATGATGTTGTAGCTTTTGTATTACATGAACAGTAAGAGCCTGTCGTTCAAGTGAACTTATGTAAAAGGAGGACTTAGCCGTGTCTGGTACCCCAAATGGGCGCCAATGCACTGTTAATCGTTAACATTGCAAGCATACTACAGATTGATCTTAGTAAAGATCTTTGTATCGGTTAGACATTTTGAAGAATAGTGCACTAAGATTTCCTTAATGAGAACCTCAAAGAATATTCTGGTTTCTCAATTCTACAATCAAATTGCGGAAATGAGAAATAATTCATGAGAAAACTTTTGTTTGAAAATTCCTATCGATAATTCTAACGCTTTAGATCTAACAAAGTTTTGAAATAGTGAATTCTGGACCAGGTGAATTTAAAAGACAGAGGGATAGTGTTATGAAAAGATGAGAGTAGACCTAGCAGCAGCTAGCCGCGAGCGGCGCCCCAGAGGGGCGCCGACGAGAGACTAGCTGCTGCACTCGGTTATCTCCAGAAGTGCCGCTTCGAAGTGTTGGGATTCATTGAATAAAAGTCAATAGTCGAAATCAAATGGGTCTGAATAAAGAATATCAGATACAAAATGTTGAAAAAACTATGTCAAGTCAAGGATGAGAACCGGTTTTTATGTTTGGACAAAATAACTGAATAGTTTGTCAGAATAAAAGTATTACTGAAAGAATTTGTATTTGCTGCATCGGTAGTGGACATGAATGAAACAAAAGAGTGTTTCTTTTGGTATATGCTTTTCTTTGTATTAATTCAAGTATCTGAATGTATATTGATATATTCAAATTACCTGTCTAGTCTTATCACTACTTTGAATAAGAGCTTGTTGTATATATGAGATTTCAATTAGAGATCAGATATAGTATGTTTTATTTTCGGCTAGAAGTTCCACTGAACTTCTATTTCCCTAGAGAACTCTATAGTAAACAGCATTATCGAGGAATGTTCTAGAATGTATACAAATTTCTAGTAGAATTTTCAAAAAGTACTCTGCGTTTTCGTATAATTTTTGTGAACTTCTATTGCTACATGGTCTGTGAAAAATTGAATATGATATCTTGTTCAGTCGAGGGCTAAGCGAGTCGAAGCGACGAGCGTTACTTGTTAATCCAATGCTAATGCTAATCTGACACCCCTACGTTGGTTATTGAGTTGTTCAATATAAGCGATTGATGGATAAGTTATTCATTTTGTAATATTTCTTGTGGCGGCTTTTTCCTGACGAGAAGTTGATGCAGGTTTTTGTTGCTTTGTATTCCGAGTCTTAGGCGAACACTGTTTATCGAGTCGACTTATATCTTGTTCAGCTCTTAACCGACTAGGGTATCCGATGGGAAAATGTTTTTTCGTAGGTGGCTAATGCTCGTTGAATATAGACGAGTGTCATTTGGATCTCATTCATTTTTTCATAACAAAGTCCAATATTGTTCAAATAGTCATCGATCTTAGAATGATCTAATGTTTAGAAGTGTTTAAAAATTCAAAAGCCAGCAGGAGAATGAACAGAAAGGGAAATTTAACAGGTATACAAGAATTGCTGGTTACATGCTCAGCAACACGTATATCAAACTGATGTACGCATTACGCAGATCAATTTTTCCAACTTACGTATGTACAACACGAGAGCAGTATATCATTTATTACAACGTTTCGTGACAAATTACGCAGATAAAGTTTTCCAGCTTCCCATATGAAGAACGATAAGCGACATTTTTCTCATTTTTTAAGTCATATATACGCCCGGAAAAAAAATAGTTCCGGCCTGTATTCCAAAAAATATTTTGTCACTATTAAAACACATTTTTCAAAAACTGATTACATATTCTGGAAGCCCGTGGCATTTTCTATCGCTCTGTACTTTTATGTTTTAGTTATGCGTTACCAAAATAAATTGACTGCAATGAAGACAGCCTCATGTGCAGGTTTCCACAGATTTGATTTTGTCATTGTCATCAAAATTAGTTAAAATTTTTTATTACTATAAAATTACGTTCTTAAAAAAAGCAGTTATATATTCAGATAGAGCCTGAAATTCTCTACCACCCTATAATGCGTTGCCAGAGTCACCATATCGGCTGGTGTTAAAGGGGAAAATTACCGATTTTCTTGTTGAGCATTTGATCTAGTGTCTTGCTGATTATGCTGTCGACACTGCTGATTATATTGAGCTGATTGATTTCCAATATAACGATAATTACCACCACCACTAATGTGGTCCACATTACTCATTCTTCCTTCCTTTCAGCAAGAGGAGAATGACGTACGAAAAGTGTGTAAACGAAAAGAAAATGTGACTGTTCTTAATGAGAAGAAGGGAGGAAGTGACGCGTCTAAACATGTAATTACATAACTAGTTGACTCGAAATAAACAAACTTGTTAAAGACAAGAGACAACGTGGTAGGAATGAATCATCATCATCGTCAACAGCAAGCGCACATATAAAATGAGCGATACGACAGTATCACTAGTTTATATTTTACTCTTCTATATAAACATCATCAAGACTACTTCCGTAACAATGACAAGCAGGTATACACAGCTGCAAGGAAAGACGCCGAATCATAAATCGAGTGGCGAAGGTTTTGTCGTGATATCTGGTGAGGATGAGAGGGATTCGGCAGCTAATCCGATGCATATCGCCCTGATGACCATTCAGCTTGCTCGACGGCTCGGAATCAATGGATCGGCCGCACGTATCAGTGGACAATTGCCCTACGATGAAGGCCACGACAACACGATATTCGACGCCCCTCTCATCAGTCACACAGTGTCAGCGCGGCTGCGCTTCATGCGAGGATGGAAGCAATACGAGAGTTGCATCAAGGGATTCAACGGGCTCGGGCTGATCGCGGAAGTCGCGCTGTGTGAACAGAAGAAATTGACTGCTCTAGATGCGAATTCTCGTAAGGATGTTGCGCGTAGATTTTTGCGGAGCCGGTGCCGGAGTAAGCAGCCCATATTTACGTCGGACCAGATATCCAGAATTCCGGATTCCATCCTGGACAGCATCGCCATCTTAGACCTTGCCCTCTGGAGTGGGTTTGCAGACCGGACGATCGTGTGCTCCACCTCCTCGAACATGGGAATTTCTCTGCACCAGGCGCTGCGATACTTTCAGCAGGGCGAGGTGACTGTTGGGAATACAAAGGTTCCACTGCTGAACGATGATGAGGGCTCCCTGATCATCTGGTGCCCCCACGAAGAAGCAGACTTCATGAACCTCGAGAAGACCGCCAAATTGAGGGCTCTAGAAGCGGAACAGCCGCCTTTGACGCGGCTTCATACCTACATCAACCGGCGGCAACGGGATCCCGGGGCACTGCGTGATGCCATGGAATTGGGCGGCTACTTCTTCCCGACAAATCCGCAGAGCAGACATGAAATGCAGAACCTCCTCGCGAACGCGATGAAGGGCTTTATGGAAGTGAAAAAGTGCACTGAGGAGGTGCTGCTTACCGATCTCAACGTTCTCAGGACGCTGGAAACCCTGGGTTGCCAGATCGAAAAAAACCAGGTCGTTGTCACACGGGGCGTGGAAAGCGGGCTCTACGGGCTTATGGCAGCCTATCTACTCATGCTTGACGAAACCATCAACGAAGAAGGGACACTCGCGTTGTCAACCTGGAACCAGGCCTCGATCGGCGCCGCGCTGGCGGCCGCCGTACTGGCAGACGAAGAGCTGAGAGGTTACGCCCGAATCTCCGTCGAGCTGAGGCAGACCCTGCAGCAGGAACTACCCAGACTCGATGCCTGGCTGCAGTGTCACAGGCTTGGATACGATGTACAGACGCGAATCCACGGCGTATTCGACATCGCAAACCTTCAATCGCTCGCTCAACTGCTTGGTGTCGTGGTGGAAAAGCATCTCTCGGGTCGCAGCGTCGCATATGTAGGCTTAGGATCAAGCTCTTACTCCAATGGCAACCTGTGCTACGATATCCTCCGCAAGAGCGAAGCTAGAGGCGGCGCCTTCGCCGGAAAGATCGCATTCCACGCTGCGACACACACGCTCAATCCGGTGGCGCAGGCGCTGGTCATCGCGGAAGACCTG